AAGTGAGACAAACGAATGTTATCATTTCAATTTTGTCTTCACATTTCAGTAAACCGGTCAATACCATGGCTGATTTGTGAAAAACAGAGTACTGCCTACTTTATTATGAAAGAACATAGCAATTTCTGAATTCGCAATTCCGTTTATCCTTGACTTTCCCTGGGTTCGTTAAATCTTTCAAATCTAATAATACATTTAGATGTTTTGAAATTGTATCGTCTTTGGTCAAACATTTCGACTGCTCTCCAGTTGGAACACAATTGTTCATAGCATCTTTGCGAGTCTCTATTTGAAAGATCATTGTGCTTTATTCAGTTCAGCCCACCCTATAACAACCATTAGTGAGACTCCATATTCAAATTTATTACGTTTTATCAATACTAAACGTTGTAATTCATGCTAATTTGTCTGACAAACACTCCCTTATACATGATGAGAATACTTCAGCAGAATTCCGTAAAGGGAGTATATGTGTTGGTTCAAACTCACAGTAAAGCCAAAGATTTACAATGAGGTCCTGGTGAATCGTCAGATAAAAGTCAGCCATAATTCTCCCACATGTCTGCCCATCTAACCTGTACACGCATCCACACTCGTTGATTCAGTCACATGACACAGACACGCACTAACCGCGCCTGTCTACCCACCACTCTGACTCATTCACGCATTCATGACCCCAACCAATCCATGTACTTGACTTTGTAACATTCAGTTTTGGGTCCGACATAATCAAACACACTTCAGACTATTTCGTATGAACTCAGTGGATTATTTATTTAGTCAAGCCGATTCGGGAAATCTTACTGTGAGTACTTTCCCCCTTAACCGTCGATTTATGTTAACGTTCAATCTCCTGTTTACGTGTGCTAAATGTCGGTCATTTCCTTCTTACAGAACTGCATTGGTATTCGTGTACACATATGCTGTACGATAAGGGGCTAGCGTTTTGCTCAGCCGAACTGGGATTGCGAACAATCAAGTGAGTGCTCAGACCGAGACAAGATTAACGTTAAGTGCGATCCATGGGGCTTACACATATCATTGACCAAGCAGGCAGTAACTAGTTAGATTCTCTGAGCATCTGTAATAATAATGACATTATTATTATTTCAACAGATGTGAAGAAAAATCTGCAGAATGGGTTCATAGGCTGCGTAGGCATGTCACTTCCCGGAGAAAATGGGATAACAAAGCCAGATCTGTCTTAAGAAAGCAGGACGGAGCTGTGAGTCCGCAGTCCGTTTGGGCTGGTGTCCAGTTTATCAGGTCATAAGGCCTTTGGATAGAGTCAAAGTCCAAAGTGACCAATAGGATAAATGAGGCTTTCTTGTTTTACCTGTTACTTCGGTAGTATTTTTTGATCTATGCCCTCTCAACTTATGAATTTATTTGACTTGATTCGTTTACATAGGTTTACTGTGGAAGCGTTTCTGCAACAAGTGAATTTCTCCCGGAACCTTACGGCTGACAGCCTGTCCGTAAAAGAGAGTGTCATTGAGACTGTACTGAATGAATTAACGCCGAACACTCACTTCAAACTCTTTCTCTCCCCAGAAACTGAAATCCACGTAGTTGAGTTACGAACGATGAAATATAAAATTATAGCTCCGTGAACTGCCTTGAGGAAACATGAAGCTTCTTAAAATTCAAATGTGCACGGATATCCTGAGATCACCCTATTCGTTTAAGTCGGAAGAACTTATTCCAAACACAAAAGGGATTTTCTATCAAGACCGTCTCAGTGAAAGTGACACGTCAAGCATCTTTGCAAGAGAAGAGCGATCAAACGCAGGTGTCCATTTCGCTCAAGTTTCCATTTCACCACACGAACGTTCATCTCTGCGCATACCGAAAATTAATTTTCCAGTCCTATCTGTTCAAGGGTTATGTACTCGCTTAGGCAAACTACCAAATTATATCAAGTAGACAGATTTGAGAAAGAATCAAAGAACGCCAATCAGTTATCATGATCATTGTTGTGATAAAAAATATCTCCAGCACACTTGTGGAATCTATCGTGTATACCAAACATCAAATGGATACAGAAGCCATCATTTTGACCTTCCTAGTGCCTCGTAATCCATCAAGGGCTATCCATTCACGCCTTCTCGGCAATCACAGTTTTTATTATAACCCTTTTCTCCCATAAGCGAATTCTGAAAGCCTAATCGCCAGGGCCCGGAACCGAATGACGTATGACTTGGGATTACCATTTACGTAACTCAAAGTGGAAATGGTCAACCCTGACTCACTCTAACCCTTGGCTGTTCTCATTTACAAACTGCTTACTTTTTTCATAAACCACACGGGGCTTACTTCTACCATCCCCTGAGCAATTCACACCTGACCTAGCGGGTTCGACATGGTTCGACATTCCAAGTACCGGGCCTTAGGCTACCGGTTTCCATGACTGAACAGCAGGTCTTCATGACCGTTCTTCGCCAAAATGTGTAATATAACATGATATACATATCATACTGTATTATTCAGAGGAGGAAAGTATCGGATAACCTTTTTCACCGTTTCATTTTCTGCTAAATGTGGATTCAAAAGTACTTTGAAATATCGCAAACATCCTTTCCCTTTGATTCATTTGAATAAAACAAGTAACGCAATATGAACAGAATATTGGCCATCAATTCCACGTGCTCTCAATCAACTGTCTACGCACATTAATTAGGTCAAATTTTATCATGGGAATATATGGACATTTACATAATTACATAGGTTCAGGCAGAAGGCACTGGGTTGTTGAGTCATTACGAAAGTCATTTGGATATGGGTGAAATGAGGTGGGCGAAGTGTCAACGATGATGTATATGTTGTATATGACCAAATAACTCAAGAACGTAATGGAGGCCCCACTGTATTTCTTCATAGTTGCAAAGAATCGTTTAGTTCCATTACTTCAACTCTTCAATATCAGGTTACATTTCGATATTGTGATTCCATTTTATTCTATTCAAAACTATCATGAGTTCCACTAACTCGGTCAAACAGCCGATAGCTTAATTCAGTCGTAAACCTGCCTCCCCTGAAGTGTTTTCCTGCAGATTTAGCTCGTAATTAAACCTTGCAGCGAACAAACGACCTTGGGATAAGTTCATTTCGATTCACCATTGTCCCTGTTATCGCCTACGCAACAGATTGCTAAATTCCTTCAATTTCATGATGGTCCTTTTTGTTAGACAGTATCACTAGACTAGTTCAAGCTCAGGCTTTCAGTGAACCCACCAAATCGCCATCATTTTACGAATACATTCTTGAATATTTTCTGATGACCGATGCACACATGTTTAATTCTCAGCTGATTATTGCTAACTGAAATTCATGTGAATTTCAAAGTACCCCGTGACGCGGTGAGAATGGCAGTGTACTATTCCACCTCATTATGCGCTTAAGAACACCGGTTCCAAGCACCCTGAAACATTCTAACCTTACTTGTCTCAGTCAAAACTATCAGGCAAGTCACAATAGGGCTGTGCATGTGACGTTGAGTAAACTTACATTTCAAGAGAAGGAATGCATGTAAATGAACATCGATTAACGTAGATCGTGCTTCAGAATCTACCCTGTATTTAGTTATTATTGCTGTTGCTGTTTGAAAGACGCACCAAAAATATGATTAAATAGTAAGGCGAAAATGTCTATCCACCGACTTGCATTCCATATCCACTGTAATAGGTACGCGTGTTTTTTGAATGATGCTTTCCCTTTGTAGAGACATGCAGGAATTCTTCACAGAACAGAAATAAATTAGCTTATTTACGAAACTAGTCGCTTCGCCCTTTTATCTCAGGCTTTTATGTCAGGCTAAAAGCCTGATATCGTTAGTAATAAAATCTAAAATCAAGAAAAGGCCTAGAGGTATCCGGACGAATGAAGGCTGGTGAAATTCCACGAGAACAAGCTGCACTGTCCAGTTTTAGGCCAGCATGAAAGGTACATCCCAGTATGGATTTATCTAGTTTATCGTATTAGTTTCCGTTCACTAAATATGATGTTGATTTGAACTGACTATCCCTAGGACTTCACCTTCAAGCACAATCCTCAGTGCATTCGGTTAACCATACACTCGGAAGCACTTGTGCGTGAAGATGAAATCCGACGGATAGTCAATTCAAATCAATATCAGTTATCTCACAACACTACTAACAAGTAATTGTGAGTTCAATGTGTATTGCAAATGTGATGTCTCCTAAACACAACGGTCTGTGGGAAAACCTCTAGCCATGCCATTCAGCTTTCAAATTCAATTTCAGTCAGTTTATTTGTCCTTCTGTACGTATCGAAGTTTTTCACTCTTAAAATATACCTGAGCAATTAAGTCCTATCGTTTTAGTACGAAAATCAATACACTTAGTTGAGTGATTTTCTTCTCTTTATGAGCACCGTTTGTTCTGGCATTCATCACTGAATCAGTGGATTATCATCGTCCAGACACGACTAGGCACGACAGTTAAGATTTATATTGCTGTTCTGTGGTTGCAAAGTGTATAACGTTCCTGGTGCTTGAATGGAAACGCAATAGTTTGCCTCTGACGTTCTATTAATTACATTATCCTTGAAGTGATATCCCCTGATCAATTGATGGCAATCCCAGATCCAGAATAAAGTAAAATCCGTATTGAAGAGACCAAATACTAATTATCAAGGGGTGAAAATTGTGTTTCTAAGTGATTTTCGCTTATTGGGGCCTCGATAAATTCACCACTCGTTCTTGGATTTTGTAGGCGATGGGAATTCGTGTCATGGATAATAACAGGAAATGCCTAAACAGTTTGTCCAGTTGTAGAGGTTTCGGCTCACAATTTCAGCATGAGTGATTGGAATATCTTCGGAGAAACATTGCTGGCAAGTCCAAACAAAACATGAAATCATTATTCAGTACTTTGGTGGAATTTATATTACATTCAGTCGTCGGACAAGGGCCCTTTTCAGAAACCCAAACTAATCAAAAGCGGATATACTTCGGACAGAAACAGAACAATCTAACTCACTTGTGACACACCGTTCTCTAGTACTTGAATAATATCGTTCCCAGTTACATCCAGTACCATAGTGGGATTCAGCATAGGCAATATCAGGCTAAGCTGTTTCAACGTGAAATCCCCCGACGGCACAATCGCATCGATCCGCATACTACCGGAATTGATGATTGCACAATCTGCTTCTGTGGCTGTCAGTGCAACATCAGCCAGAAAATTGCCCATATTTGTTTCTTGAGAACGAATCATGGCAAATCGCCCATCCAGTGGAACATCTATTTTACCTATCACGCGTGATAGCCGCTCATTCATTGCGGCACTGACTGTTTCAACCATTTTGGCAACCTCAGGATCCGGTGTCCAAGATTTGTCTATGGGAATCAGGTCAAATTTGACTTGCTTTAGTCGTTTTGTTTTTGCATCCAAAATCAAATGTACATGACCCAAATGTCGAAAATCAGTTCCGCTTTTGATCACCCAACGGTTAGTTCCATCTTTGGATTTGACCGTTTCAAATCCATAGTTATGATCATGTCCGCCGAGAACCAAATCAATTTCTGGTACTTCTCGTGCCAACCGAATGTCATTTGGCCAACGCATATGTGTCAGTGCCACGATGATATCACAGTCTTCGTCATGGCGTAGCTGAGTTGCTATTCGACGTCCTTCAACACAAAAGTCCCGCACCAAAACGTCATCCTGATCGACCACAGCCAATGTGTCCACCCAATCGGGTTCCACAAGACCGATCAAACCGTACCGGATCCCGCCTCGCTCGATCACGTGACAGGGAGGCAAATCACATAACAGTTGTCGTGTATGTGCATCGTAACAATTTCCATTGAGCCAGGGGAAATTCGACTGTTTGATACAACGTAACAGATTGTCGATGCCGAAATCAAAATCGTGATTCCCGATTACAGCACAATCCAAATTCAGGCGATTTAGCACATCAATCATGTGTGATCCCTCAGTGGTCATGCTCAGTGAAGACGGGCTGAGTGCATCCCCTGAGAATAGGAGTAAAGTGTTCTCAGGCACTCTGGAGCGTAGCTCAGTGAAAGCAGCGGTAAATCGTGCTGCTCCACCACATAGGTCACCACTGGTCTCTTCAACATTGTACACATCATTGAAATGTAAAATTTCCGCTTGAATGGTTTCGCCCTGAGGTGTGATTGTAATCGATTCAGCGTTTCCCATATTTTATAAGATAATAAATGCAAGCACTACTTTGCTTGTGTTTGTGAGCATTTTCCGTATATTATTCAGACGTAACCGTGCCTGTAAGCCGGATTATGCTGGATGCTGATTGGTTAAAAAAAGGTGGCGTTTTCATTGGTGCAAGAGAATGCGCGTGGATGTAAGTTGGTTGGTTTAACCAATGAACGTTTGGAGGAATACACGATACAGTTCAGGTCCAACCAAAGGAGTAAATTGTATTGATTTACGAAAGTTTATCGAGACGATTAGAATCTGAACTCACACACATGGGGTATCACACTAAGTGCGCAAATACAAGCGATCGCTATCACCACCAATGTACCCAGCGGGAAGTTGCTTTCTAGAGGAAGAGGAAATAAATCAATTTTACTCCCAACCACCAGGAAATATGCACTTGTTCCTGAATGAACTATGGGACAGTGATACGTCAGTTGTCAACGAAAAGAGTAGTTTGAAAATACTTCAGCATCTCTATGTGTCAGTGATTATCACTGTTTGACTTATGATCTTCGTCTTCTAAATTATCTCTCAATACATCTAAATGTAGCGATGTCACCTTTTCGCTCGCCAAAGGAGAACGGCTACATTCTTTTAAAAGGAATTGTTTTACACTATGTTGACAACCAGCCTGTTCCCCCAGTACATTCTCTACAATACCTCGGTGTCAAGATTATACTTTTGTAAAGATTCGACGATTGTGTTTCTTTATTTCCCGCTTGCGTTCTTTGAAAGTTCCACTGTATTTACTCATTCGATTTGTATATTGTTGTGTTGTTACTCATCTTCTCTACTGCTCCTCAGTTTTACTTGCCGGTCTTAGAGCTAAAATCTACACAATTCTACGCCGGTCTATTAAAACTATTTCTCACACAAGCGGTATTCCTTATTTGCACTTGCTTAACTTTATCGCCGACAAATATTTTACCTCTTGCGATAACTTCTGCAACAATATTCTATCACACAACACTCACTCATTACACACAGAACTTAAACAATGCGTATCCACATCTGTAACAAGATGTCGTTATAAACTAGTGCATGCTTGTACCACTGCCTATTGTTTGTCCATCAACCTCTATCTTTCGAAATTTCTGGCTCAGAAGGCATCCGTTAGAGAAAACTTTTTGAATTTCCTACGCAATTGATATTCATTCTAAAACTTTTACTCCACATTCCTTTGAATTTAGTATGCTGTTTTTTTTCTTACTATTTTGTGACTGTATGCAACAATAAATGTTCCTGGAGTGCAAGAAGCTGAGGATCCATTCATTAGGATAATTAAAGCGACTTTTGACTTTAACTTTGAAAACAGCTTTTCAGGGTGGACTATAAGTTTTAATAATTACGACGAATAACTCCAGAAAATATATCTTATTACGAAAAGCGTCAGGAACACTCGAAACGCCATTGTTGGTACCAGCCTATATATATATTTCTTGCGATTATTGTTAACCAGATCCAACCGGAAACACCGATTGATGTTTTATCACCCGATGCGATCAATGATATTCAGTCAGTCAAGGAGATAAGTTATACTCTCCTGCTAAACTAAAGTCAAACAAGCTTTACATAGCAGATCTCCAGATGCGATGCAACACAAATCCACGGATAGTTTAGATATCGAATAACTATATCATTATGATAGTAACCATGGCTAAACCTAACTAGCGTGACCTTGAAAGTAGGTACATTCAGAGTCCGAATTGTAGAAACCCCATTGGAATTCACCATCAGACATGAATGCCATCCACATTGCTGTACAGCGTACAATCAACCATGTCTAACACAAATGTTGATCAAACATTTATAGAAAGCAGAATCTTTTGTGAGAATTCACAGCTGTATTCCAGTTGATTCATTTACACTTAAATTGTTCTCCTTCGTTCTCCCCTTTGGTCGGTGGTGGCCAAGTGGTTAGGTCACCAAATTGTGACCCGAAAGTCCCGGGTTCGAACCGCTCCACCACCGCCCTACTCCTATTTCTGTATTTCCTATGGCAGCCTTTGTATGGCTGCAATCTCCTTCCTGAAAGTTGACTGTACAATTGTACATTCAATAAATAAAAAGGGAAGTAAAAGGACATTTAAGACACACATCTATGCCGAAATGATTCATGAAGGTAAATGTGTTCTCCCAAACGATGAGATGTTTTGCGTGTGCAAATAATCCATTCCAAGTTCATTATTGCCAGAATTACTTTTTAACACTCACATTTATTTACTTGCTTATCACTTGAAAACAGTGTTTCACCAAAACAGTTTACAGTTCAAATTGATGAACCAAGTCGATCAAGAATTAAACCCGGCAGGCTTTCAAGTCCTTGAGCCGCGTTGTTGTGGTTAAGACTATTCAATCGACAAACCAAAGGTTTTCTTGGTCGATACCTTTTGATTATTACGACACTTATCAACCGTTTCAACCCATAATCATGTAGAAATCGTTAAAAGCATAAAGAACCAGAGAATGCGGATATCTGTGAAATCCTTTGATAAAATTTCCAGAGTCCTTTTCCCTAAGCTGCTTGAGAATGAAATGTTTTTCTGTGACAGCTCATTAACTTGCCTTGGCCTGGGCAACTTGGCAGTAATCCGCCCAGATTATAGAACGTTTCCCTTTCATACAGATTACTGTACCGTGAATGTTTGGCAAGCAGTTTGGCTTCAGAAGTGTGTGAAAGACCATCAAGAGTGCCTGGTGACTCTGAAAGATCGAATAAGCCAATCCAAGCTTGATAATATAAATGTGTGGAATATAATTTAAGAATAGCTCACTAGCACAAATCACATTTCTCTTTAAAATTCATTTGCCTTTTTCGATTTTACGACCTAATAACTAGACATTCACCTAAAAATCTAATTATAGTTTAAAAGGTGATAATAAGAGGGTTACACATTCTCCAATTTTCATTTAGCATAATGCAGTATTAAATGTGGAAATCCCCATTATCACAACCTTATAGTTCCGTACACCGGTCTCTTCTGCTTTTAAGACATAGCGAAAGAGGTGACTTTAACCACATGTCATCACACACGTACAAGAATGAATGATCGAATGAAGATTCTGATAGTTCAGCATCACTTGAATATCCGCAGCCTGTAATGTCTTTCAAAAATTAACTCATATACCAAATACTGTTCTGTTTAGAATGAGAGCAGCTAGGTTACGTGTTACGTGAGCACTCCCAGCATGAAATTAGTGTTGCCCGTAAAATTTATGATGAGGTTTACTTGGAGACGGAGAGTAATCACATCATCAAATTCCTCAATAACTAAAACATTTTTCATCTGCAATTCTTCTTCATGGAGTCAGGTTATTCGTTAAGCATACTTCGTTCGCATTCTTTGCATATTTTGCCAACTGGGTGGTTCGCTCTTCTATTGCATCCGCACGTCATTCGTGTTTTCTCTTCACTCGCGGTCACCGATTGAAGGCGAGATGGAACACAGATATTATGTGTAGCGATCAGTTGATCGTGAAATGTAAACCTCACCTCTGTATTATATAAATCTTTGGAAACACTGCAAAGCCGTTTCTCCCGTATCAGAAATTGTCGACGAACAGCCACGAAACCTGTATTGGATTGAATTTGGCATTGTCTTTATCTGTCTTTATCTCATACGTTACCTCGCAGGTCGACAAGTCTGGTTCCGGCAGTCGGTTTTCCAGGCGACAGGCACTTTCCGGTCACTGGAAGCTGACCGTTCAGACATCGAGATACTTGTGTTAGGAACAACGAATCCCAGGAAGTAGAGGAGACAGATCACATGGTAGAGGTACTCTTTCAACAGCTTGGAGTTCGGAACGGACTACAATCGCAATGTATAAAGAATTGCTGTNTGTGCATTATTTAGGTTAAAAAAGCAAACAATGATACTAATACTGGTGGTCGTTCTCCTAATTTCGTTGAATGCACACTTCGAATACTTCGAATTTTCGAGAAAGAGAAGGTTGTTGACAGATACAAAGAACCAGGAAGGTGAAGAGACGGTTGTTGTTAAAGCTTAAACACATACTACTGGGACCATACAGTGATGGAGCAAAACTGAGTATAATCTGCAATGATGAAACTCCGATTGAATCAGCTTGGAAAGGTTGATCTATTTAAATTATTTCATTTGGGTATAATGTAATGTATAATGAATAATGTAATGTCAAAGTCAAAGTCAAAATTTTATTGTGGGAAATACTTACAAGCGGTTGATTTTCTAGTCCCATAGGATTTGGCACAGATGAATCGGTTCACAGTACATACAAAGTAGATGAATGTCACAATGTCACAATTTATCATTGTTTCCTGCACTTACGTGATCTGAAAAGTAGGCAAATTTTGGATTCTTTCACGACTGTCCGGTCGCTTCAAGCAAAGCACAAACAAGTGTGTTATACCTAACGGTACATTTTTTAGCAGTTTATAAGTTTGTGATGAAACAACGGCAAAGTAGAAAAGCATAGGTTTCAACGGTAAGGAATAAACTAGGAGTGTCACGACAGAGATGATCCTTCAAATCGGAAATAACTAATGGGCGGTCAATCGTAAAATGATCAAAATAATCCGTGAGACTGTTTTTATTTTCAGCTTACGGTTGCCTGTGCGCACTGCTGTGAAATAAGTATTTTGAATTTTGAATAATCAAAATCCGGACTTTACGTACTCGCACAATCCTCAAATCTTGTAATTATTCATACGCTGAGGAGGCACTGTTTACTCAAGTATCGCTTTGGTCAGAAGTCGTTCGTTTCAACTAACTCGTCCCTGTTTCGAACTCCAGAACCCTAGAACGGAATGCGTACGTCCGTGTGCGTGTTACCCTTGTACCAAACAACTCCAACCTAGCTGAACAGAATTTCAAAGTTAACTTTGCTCGGATTATGTTTTTAGGGATAGTCAGTCAGTCACTTCCCTGACAGCTTATGGGAGGGACTAAAAAAATGTTCTGCTCACTCAGCCAAATCGCTACCACGCATTCCGATTCGAAGTT